AAACTGAAAAAACAGATTTGAATTTGGGCTTTCTCCTCAGCAGGAGCTAATTTTAGTTCTGGAAAGATCTCATAAATGTATTCAGGTTCTCATTTGACCTCTTACTTCACTTCCTGGGGGCTTCTTCCTCGGGTTTTGGGAGTTGCTAGACGGACAATGCTCTCGTACTGCACTGCATGAGAGGAAGGGCGGGAAATCTTCATCCTTCTCCTCTCCTCCTCCTCCTCCTCTTCCTCTTTCCTGCAGGAAGATTGCAGAGGGAACGTCTGACATCCGAGAGAAAATCCGCCTTTTCAAATAAGACAATAGGATGAGTGTTACAGGATGCTAGCTAGGAACAAGTGAAACTAGGATTTGGAGTGTGTTTATGCTAGTCAAACTCATATTTCTCAGCACTTTTATAAGAGCGATTTTTATGCTCTCTGGTGGAGAATGGGGCTGGAAACACTCTTGCCAGCTGGAATCGGAGAACCAAATTCTTTTTATCCATTCTCTCATGAAATCTCTTTGGTTCTTTGCTCTTCAAAGGTAATTTCAACCCCTAATTGTCTAAGCTAAAAAACTATATACACTATTGGAGAACTCTCCCAATATCCTTAATTGGCAGAATAAATGCGATAAAAATTATATTTCTTCCTCAAATATTATATTTACTTCATAACATTCTAATATTACTGCCCAAGTCCTTCTTTAAACACCTAGACTCGATTATTCTTCCCTTTCTATGGAATTATAAGGGTCACAGAATCAAAAATGTTCATCTCTGTAAACCCAAACATGAGGGTGGTTTGGCCCTTCTGGATTTTCGCCTTTATTACTGGGCCATTCATTTACAAGTTTTTGCACTATGGTTGGAACAGCCAGCTAGTGCCCCAGATTGGCTTCAGATAGAGCGGGATTACTGCCATCCTATGATCTTGGAGCAGTGCTACTTTCCCCAGTAATATTAGACCAAACAGTAGTTAATAGTATTGTCATAAAAAGTCAGTTACGTTTGGAGACAGATAAGAGAATACCATAAGATAAAATCACTCTCTCTCTTAATTCCAATTGCAAATAACCCCTCATTCCCCCCTTCAATGTTGGATACAACCTTTAATCAATGGAAGGAATTGGGTATATGCACAGTCAATGACCTTTATCTTGATGGGCCTTTAGCTTCCTTTACGCAACTACAACAGAAATACAACCTCCCAAAAAACATTTTTCAGATTTTTACAAATAATTAATTATTTGCGTACACATAATGTTTGCCTAGACGATTATTGATGACTGTTTACAGTTCAGGGGAAATAAGAGTCAGCTATCTTTAATTTATGGAAGGTTACTAAAAGCTATTTCTCCCTCTACAAACTTGATCAGAGAGGAATGGGCGCGAGAGATTGGAATTAGAATCTCAGATTTGGCAGAGTGGTTTGGAGGATATTGATAAATAATCGGTCAATACTAGATAGATTATGCCTTATTCAATTTAAGGTCTTACATAGATTACACTTTTCAAACAAGAAATTACATAGGATTTTCCCCAATGTTTCTCCTCTTTGTGACAAGTGCAAATCAGAGGATGCTGACTTAGCTCAGTTTTATTTTCTGTCATAAAATACAGGGATTCGGGTGTGAAGTTGAAAAAAAAAACGCTTTCAGATGTCCTTAATGTAAACTTGGAACCAGACCCAGTGCTCATTATATTAGGAAACAAATCAGCTGCCTGTTGGCCAAGAAATACGAAAGAGGAAACGGGGCTGCATAGGTCACACTCTCCGCAAGAACCCTGAAAACGTCACCAAACAGACACTGGAGTGGAACCCACAAGGAAAGAGAAGAGTGGGTAGGCCAAAACAGACTTGGAGACGATGCACGGAAGCAGAGCTGAAGGCAGCCGGATGGTCGTGGGCAGTGTTGGAGAAAGTTACTTTTAAAAGTAATGCATTACAATATTGCGTTACTCCATAAAAAAGTAACTAATTACATTACTTAGTTACTTTTTATTGAAAGTAATGCGTTACGTTACTTTTGCGTTACTTTTTAAATCTGGACAGGGCTTGCTTGTTTGTTTTTAAAATAAAAAAGTTATATTTTTGGCAAATATAAAAGCCTTTTCACACCAAATGTGAAATGAATAAGCCTCAGGCTGAAGGGAAAGTAAATTTACGTCCGTACAGTAGAATGCAGAAGACGACATTTCAACACACTTCAGCAATAAAAAAAGACAACTGTTTGTCTAGAGTAATTTGTGCTTATTAGTACGGTTGAACTGGATCATCGATGGTCAGAAGCAAAGACATTGGTTAATAGAATGGGATTAAATTCATAAAGGATATTTGTGTTGTTTAACATTTAATTATTGTAGGTTTGCGTCATATTCTAAGTTGCATTATTTTTATTCATTTTGAGGAATACTGAATCTGTGTTTTTTTGGGTTTTTTTGTGAGTGAGATGAAGTAATGCATATTCATATTTATTTTATAACTACAGTAGCATCTTCTGATTTCTCTCAATATGGGGGCAGGAGAGCTGTCAATCAATACATTTGAAAAAAAAAAAGTAACTTGCGTTACTTATTTGAAAAAGTAACTCGGATATTCTCTTGTAAATTAAAAAGTAATGCGTTACTTTACTAGTTACTTGAAAAAAGTAATCTGATTACGTAACTCGCATTACTTGTAATGCGTTACCTCCAACACTGGTCGTGGGCCCAGCTGAAGAGAGTCAACATTATTCGATGACTGAATAAAAACTTATTTGACAAAAAAAAAAAAATCTCTTTGGCATCAAACTCAATCTGCTAATTCATAGGACTCAGGCGTATGACCTGTACACTTGCATCCAAAAATGAACAGCAGGAATCGTGGATTGCTTTCTCATTTCCACTAAAAGGTATAGGGCAAACTAGCAGTCGTCACATGCTTGATTCTGAATGCTGACCTCAACTCATTCATTATTCACCTGACACCGGCCAGTAGGTGGAACTGTTAGTCGACATATGTTTCATTTCTAATAACTGCACACTTAATGTGACCATGTGAATGTATATTTTAAGGTAAATTAAACAAATAAAATGCAATAAATGCAGGATATTGTGGTTGTTGATGCATTTAACAGTGGTGTGGCATGTTTTTAGAAGCTGTGCTGTAACAGCATGTTTAGATACCTGCGGTTTAGGCATTCTTTAGCTAAACAATTGGATTATTTTATTAACACCCCCTTTTAGCGGTTAAACCCCCCATTGACTGTACAACAAAATCTCCAACCAAAAATCCTGGAGTTGCCACTGATATGAATATATTTCATGATCTAATTTAGGTTTAAGTATTCATTTCCTACATTAACAAATATTGTACTAACCCCAAACTTTTGAACAGTAGTGTATGAGAACTAAATAAAATGGACGTTTTAAGACATCTGTGCCATCTCCTGCTACCTGAGCTGAATCTGGAGGGAGAAGTCTCTCTTAGGCTGGGCCAGTGCCTTTATTCTGGGGCTCGGGTTGGCTTGCAGTGCTGAGCGGGACAGCGGCCGTATCGATTCCTGGTTTCCCCACGTCAGTATCCTGAATGTATCCCAGAACACAAGCACCACAGATAAGTCAGCTTGATCAAGGGATGAAACAACTGTTTTGTTAGCTTGTTTTTGGATATTTGGATAGTGCTGAAAAATATAAGCCTCAGGTATATTTGTACTCATGGTTGACACCATAGTTTCAGGTTATAATCAAGTTAAAGTGCATGCAAAAGACGTTTTACCAAGGTGTTGTGGCCCAAACTGTCTTGGACTCCTTTGGTTGAGCAAGAAATGAAATCCTACAAGCACACATGTTATCAGTTTCTTAAAAATAGAAATGAAAAGAAAACTCAAATTTAGTTTTTCTGCTATACATACCTATCCAGATGGAATGACTTTAATTCAGAGTCTGTCAGGAATAGAAAACAAACAAATAAAAACATGTTAATCTATTTTTCAATAAAAATAACATGAGACCATTTAGGTTTGGTTCTAAATGCAGACTTTACCCGAGTCCATTCTGTCCAGGTACAGACCCAAAGGAATCCTGGGAAGCTAAACGCTTACTGAATGTCACAATAGAGACCGCCTGTTGCTAAGGAAGCTGTTACTATGGCATCCAAAGTCACATGGTCCTGCTCTGTCTTCAAAGAAGAGCTGAAATGAGCTTTGAATCCTAACCTTTAACTCCATACCGAAATCCCAGATAGCCAGACAATGAAAATATAAAATAAATAAATTAGTTGTGTTTGGGACTCTGTGAGCATGGAGACTGTAGTGTACACCGCAAGTTTGAAAATGTTTAGCTTAAATGTTTAATATGAATAAACAGTGCTCACAAACGGCTGCTGAGGTAGTATTCTCAAGTGAAGCGAGTTGAGGCTTGGACCCGGAAACAGCGCTTCTTACGTCACCACTTAAGCGGATTCTAAACATGATGCCATTGATTCTAAAAAATAACATTTGGGGATTTTTGTTACAAAAATGACAAACATGATTCAGTCATTTCAATTACTATTTAATGGTTATCAAAAGACAATCACCAACCAAATCTTCACTTGACTTCTGGACATAAAAAAGCCATTTAAAGACAGAAAGGTCAAGTTACAAAAATAATATACAGACATTTGGATTATAGACTATTCTTACTGACAAGTCAGCAAGTTACATTATAAACCAATTAAAGCATTTTTTCATCTAGCAAAAACAGCACAAACACACAGGCTTCATACAAGAGTCTGTAGCAGTTAACTCATAATCAAACATCCCATAATCCACAATTGCAGCAGCAATACACTGAAAGACATGATTATCTTTGGCATCTTTTTCAAAATGCTCAGTTTCATTCTCAATTACAGCAATCATAATGTTTTCGTGTCATTAAAATGATTTCAACTAGTCTCTCTTCTACTACAAAAACAGGCTGTTTTGTTGTCATTTGGTTTGAAGAGTCTTTGGTGACCGTAAAGCCCTACATAATTGGGACCAAAGGAAACTATTTTAAGATGCATAGTCAGTGGTCAATCATCTGACATCATCTCGATGATGAGGTCACAAGCATCTTGCACACCGGCGTTGGCCTCAGACTTTCCCTTCTTCACCTCAGTACCAATCACACTGAGCCGGTGCCCGTCGCCAACATTACCCAAATCCAGTGCCTCGTAAAGATCAGTGATCCCACGGGCCCCGGGGACGTCCTGCGTGAGAGAGAGCGAAGCATGTGTGAGATCCTGGCACAGGACCATGTTTCAAATAACAGAAAAACATGCACTAATTAATTAGTCCAAAAAGAACAGGGATAGGGGTGTGCCACATGCATTGTCTATGATAATACTGTAATTATTGTTTTAACAGTGTAGAAGCTGAGTATGTCATTCACTTTGCAAAAACAGGCCTTGATAATGCAAATTTTTGCATCATGGAGCCTATTAGAATGACCCCAAAACTCAATATATGGGGGTGAAAAGGCCCCTGTATGAGTTTTCATCTAGATTCCATATTTCACTAGAGGAAGCATTATTAGGGATTATGGACTCATAGCCAGAAGCCATATTTTAAAGTTAAAAATGGTCTGATGGATTTTTTTTTTTACAAACATGCAGTTTCTCACTTCACAAAGCATTAATTTATGGACTGGAGTGGTGTGGATTATTGTGATGTTTTTATCAGCTGTTTGGACTCTCATTCTGACGGCACCCATTCACTGCAGAGGATCCATTGGTGAGCAATGTAATGAGATGTAATGCTACATTTCTCCAAATCTGTTCTGATGAAGAAACAAACTCATCTGCATCTTGGATGGCCTGAGGGTGAATAAACTTTCAGCAAATTTTCATTTTTGGGTAGCCTATTAATTTAAGTATTAATATATCTCTCGTTAATTTCTGTCACTGCTGTGAACTAACCACTGCACAGAATATGTCAACAACAGGCCAAAATCAGTCAAGGTACCAGCACAAAAACACACTCAGCACCTTGTACAGGAACTTGTATTCATGGGCCAATTTGATTTCATGTTGACTTTAAGGCCCGTCTGTCACACCAGATGTGTTTGCAAGAACATCCGGCACGTCAACAGGAAAAGCTGCACTGCCTCAGCACCTTAACCTCGTGTCTGACCGTCCAGATGGTCCTGACACGCACTCCATCAGACGGATCGTGCTGAGAGAGGATTACAGAGCGCATGCAGCAGACGCTCTCACCTGCTTGTTGGCGAGCAGCACTAGAGGCAGGCAGGGGTCGGCTAACAGGAGCTGGTGCAGGAGACGTTTAGCCAGAGGGAATCGCTCGGGGTCAGACGAGTCCACCACGAACACCAACACACGCGCTTTACACAAATACATCCGCCAGTAATCGCGCAGCTTCTCTGTACCTCCAACTGCATGACAGAGAAAGCACAAAAGACACTTTTACACTATTCACTTCAAGCCAGGGTTATTTTTGTCAACTTAAGGCTACGTCCACACGAAGCCAGAGCTTTCCCTATCCAATCTTTTTTTTCCCCTCGTCTCAAGAAAATATCTGCGTCCACACGAAACCACAAAACCGACACAAAACGATGTAGTATACATGCCAGACCAGCATGTGGCGCTGTAATTCTGCCACAGAGATACTCTAAAAACGGAGAAGACGACTTGGACCATGCACATAAACCTTGCGCGCGGTATACAAACGAACATGGAACAATACATTTATTAATCTATGTTAATGCTAGTTAATAAAAAGACAGTTGTTCAGTGTTTGTTGCTGTTACGTGACGTAGCGGTGTCTGACTAGGGGCGAGACGTGGGCTGATGACGTCATCGTTTCAGAAAATATACGGATTGGCTGTCCACACCAAAACACAAGGGCAGCGTTTTCAGATTTATCCACTCTGGGACCCGGTTTCAAAAAATATCGGTTTCACTCTCCCAAAACGCCAGATCCTTGTGGACGGGGCCTAAAAATAAAACCTTAAATTTAAAATATACTTTCTAAAAATAATAGTAAACATTAACTGAAATAAAATTAAATACTTTATAATCAGCTAGTTTCTCACCATTTCTCATTTCAGTTTAAGTTGAAGTACCATGGAAGCCCGTTTCCTTTTTTTCTCAGAATTGTGAGATATAAACTCCGATATTCTGACTTATATCTCGCAATATAGACTTTATTCCTCAGAATTCTGAGTTTACGTCTTACAAATGTTTTTTCCCCAAAAAAGAATAAAAAAAGGTAACTGTGACTTTTTAACCACACAACTCAGACTTTTTCGAGGTTATATCTTACAATTTGGACTCTTCTGCTCAGAATTGCGCATTTATATTTTGCAATTCTACATGACTTCAGAATTCTGATGTTCCTGCAACTCACAATTCTGCCTTTTTCCTCTGAATTTTTTATTTATATCTCGCAATTATGTTTTTTTGTTTCTGCCACAGAATACAAAATTCTGACTTATTTACTTGCAATAGCTAGTTTATATCTTACAGTTTTCTTCTCAGAATTGTGAGGAAGAAAGAAGTCTGAATTGTGAGATAAAAAAAAAAAATTTCCATCACCTTTTTATGCATTTATTTATTTTCTCCCTGTGGTGGAAACAAGCTTCCATTAAGTAGTAATATAACTATTCTAAATTAAACTAAAATCTAAAACTTAATAAAGACTACATAGACATTTTTTTTAAATAACAAAAATAAAAATGACAAACACAGCAAAATGACAAAAACTTTAAAATGAAAATGAAAACAAGATATAAAAATAAAACCTAATTTTAAATGTTTTTATATTATTAAATTGACATTTTTTTTTGGTGGTACTAACATTTTTTCCAAAGCGACTTGCATACATTTATTTCATCAATGCATGCATTCCCTTTGGATTCAAACCTACTGTATGAGTTTGGTGCTGCAAGCACCATGCTGCTTTTTGATCTACAGTAATCACAATATGTGTGTGTAAATGAGCTGTATTTACTCTCTAAGAACTCGATCTGAAGCTCTTCCTTGTTGATGGAGATGGCGTTGAAGCCCTGAGTGGGACACACGTCTTGTTCCAGGCTGCCCGTGGCAAAACAGTGCAGTAAGCTGGTCTTTCCTGCCCCGTCCAGACCCAATACCAGCACCTGAGTACCTGCTGTCCTGGGCTGCACAACACAGAGAACAAACATGACATTACTTTACTGAAATCATAGCATGACGGGAGAGTAAAGCTGCTTCATGTGTAACACTGACACACAGGCAGAGACGGATTATACTACAGGAGGTCCATACAATAAACCAAAAAGCAGTTCATTTGATCAATGCACCATGCTCAAAAATGCAAGCGCTGCATGCACATTTATTTTGAGTGAATTTTTAAATAAACTTTACGATTATTTGAAAACAAAAAATAAAAATCATAATAATTTCGTAATATTAACTTTCAAGTAGCATTATTTATAGCTTGAAAGATATGCAGCGTATCATTACATATTTATTAAAACACGAATCAATATTACGACATGTCTATTATTTTGCATTTACTTTAAGCTTCTGTTAAGCATGATCAATTATACTGTTAATAAATATTAACATTTTTAAAAGATATTAATCTAATTTAATATTATAATAATATTATATGTGGCTATTTGCATTGTATCCTATTAAAACATTACGTTTGTTATTCCTTTTTTTATGAAAATATGAATTAAAGTTGCATGATATTTTAACTATGCATCTAGTATTATAAATTATAAATGTTATTTGCATTTTTTTAAGCATTTCATACTCTGATCATGTTTATTAATTATTCAAATGTAGGGAAATATTAAAGTTGCGTGCCATTTTTAATTATTTACATCAGCTTTAAGGATTGGCATTATATAATAAGAAGAATTGCTGAATATTACAATTTATGAGGAGACTTTACAGACTGCACGATCTATTAAGCAGCTGTTAAGCATTAAATATTACAATAATATTTATTAATGACATTTCAAATCACTTGTTGTCACTGTAAACTGGCTGTTATTTCCACTTCTGCAGAACTTTCTGCTTTGA